ATATAATCTCATTTTTACAATGCATTACTTTTAATATAATCTCATTTTTACAATGTATTTTTATATGATATTTTTGTAACCTCTTTATATTATATTTATTAGGGAGATTATTATGAAGCATTTGTTAATATAAAATCAAGTATTAAGATTTCAAATACAATTTTGAGGGCATTGCGGAGGTTGGGAAACAAACTAGAAATGTTTAGAAATACTTACTTTGGTCATTGGCACGATATTCTGTCAACACATCAACTCTCATAGTTTCTTCATCTGCTAGTAATGTACTTGAACAATCATGACAATTATGTCCCTTCTGACCATATCTATTACATTGTTTCTCATATACGACCTCTCCTTGGAAAGGAATGCGTTCACGGGTACCTTGTCAATTTTCTCATTTTTTATCCACAAGAGGTGGTTTCAAGGTCATATGTTCAGTGAGATATTCCCATGCCGCACAAGGATTAACAGGATTTAGTACCTCCAAGTATGTAGCTCGATAAATTTGCGTCGTGTAGTATTTTGTCGCCCAAAAATTCGTTTTCGTCAATCCAGTCCTCCTGCAAACTGCTATCACATGACCACATGGTAAACCATACAGTCTCCATTGCCTACAACTACAAGTCTGTTGTAGTAGATCAACAACACCATTCTTATGGCCATCTCTTACTTCAAACACGATGCTTATATTAGTGTGTGTTGTCCATGTTGCACTTTTGTTAATTCTTTTAATCACTTTTTCCTCCGCCCAAGGTGTACTCCTGTTCAAGTGAGGCTGCATAATGTATAGTTCATTAAGGTTAAAAACATTTACGTAAACAAATATGTAGTTGTTTATACATTTACCTGCAACTTCAAGATGGTCGTAATACCATTGCTGCAGTGAGATGTGGAAAAAAATCAATCAACATCGAGATCGGGAGGTGCATATCTTGACAAACACGTCTATGGACTCTGCACTATTGGAAGTCATGACATTGTAACACATTCTAGCAAAATGTAATCTTGACCATTTCGTTTTGTCGGCATCGTTAAGTGTTTTTTTTGCACTTACTGGTAGAGCTTGGCGAATTTCGACTAAATTTTGTTCAAAATTTTCCACCGTATAAGCTTTGCAGGTCCTCCAAAACATCTTTCCCAACAACTTGTCTTTTTTCACGCTAAATTGTAAATTCATTTCGAGATGTCAACAACAAAGCTCGTGATTCACGATAGAATATACAGATCTAATTGCCATGTTGATGGAAGCAACCCGGTCAGATATGATGCACAAAAGAATCGACCCCCAAATATCAACGTTCTAAACAAGTGAAAGTTGGGCAAATTTTCAAGAGTAAAGAGGACTTGAAACTAGCCCTAGGACTGAAATGTCTTGAAGAGGGTTACCAAATGAAAACCACTCGCTCCATGCGATCTAGGTTCGAAGCAGTATGTGTATATTAGAAAAGTGATAATAGCGAATAAGAACAACCGTAATTAACGGTACGACGTTGTATCAGGTTCGTACATTTATGGACTTACACACATGTTCACAAACGCAAGTGTATCCCAATCACCGTTAAGGAAACAAGAAGGTGTTGGGTCATATACTGAAATATGCAGTGAATGACACAAGTAGAGTATACAAGAGTCATGACATCATCGTCGATATGAAGAACAACTATAAAATCTCAGTTAGCTATATGCAAGTTTGGCGTACAAAGTGTTATATCATTCTCCTCCTAAGAGGTGACCCGGAGGAATCGTTTTCCTTACTCCATTTATACTGCTACAATTTGAAAAAAAATAATCCAGGGACCATAATGAAGATCGAGACGGATGAAATGGCACGGTATGAGCGTTTATTTGTCGCCACTGGTTGTGTGGTAAGATCATTTTCATTGAAATTATACGTGTATATATACACTATTTTTATATATACTCATTTTGTTTGTTCTTTTTCAATTTTTATACATTCGTCCGTTTGTGAATCATTTACGACCGCTGATTATAATAAACGATGCTCATTTGAAAGGTCATAACTTAGGTGCCATGTTTTTTGGCGGTTGGCATAGACGGAAACCGAAATAGTCTTCCTCTACAACGATCTATAAACGAGCACGCCTGGCTTCTATAGAGTGCTAGCATGAAACCCTAGATTTCTAATATGTGTTTTTGAATGAAAAGAAGATATGCTTCTTTTTTGTTTTTATCTAATAATATCCAAAATTCTAAAAGGATTGATTAATTTAGGCTTAAGCCTATCACCTTATTTATACTAGAAGAGTACTCGTGCAATGCAACGAGACACATCTCGATTTTAATGTTCTATTTTATTATTTGTCTCTGTCAATGTTATAATACGATTTTATGTGTATTTAAGAAAACAATAATGATCTTATTTTTGAAAAAAATATAAATTTGAAGATATCATAAAAATTTGAAAAACAAATATATCAATGTTAATATCAAATCAACTATTTAAAAGTTCTCATTTTTTATGTAATTTCTTTAATTTTTTTATTATAATTTAATTTAAGTTTAATAACGAAATAATTTATTTTTGGTTTAATAATATAATATTTTATAAATATAATAATTAAGTATTTTGTTAGAACTCAATGATTATCCTAATTATATATATTTTGATTTTTAATATTTAAAATGAGATGTTTATCCTGTATTTGATTATGTTTATCTGCAGTTAGTTACACGAATTCAGATATGGAGCTTTAATAAGTTGTACTTACGCACAATCTACTTGTAATCTTGAGTTTTAAGTAATATGCATTAATAAACAGTAYTTTACGCATAAAAAATGGTTTTTAAGAGTTTTTGTCAAATACTTTATAATATAGTATAGATGTGACATTTGGAATTATAGATATACCATAACTCCCAAACATGGGTCGGATATATTATAATTCTTGGGCACATCTATTAAACATCCATTAAGCCTAAATAAAGGTTTTATTTAATTCTATTAATCATAATACAATTACACAAATAAGCAGTGACAATTGCCCTATGAAGGTTGTGGGAGAGCAATACAAGCGTCATGCTGCTAGGCGAAGCAGTAGAATGCTGCACCCTTACACTTTTAACACATACTTTAGTTATTATGCTAGATTAACGATTTAATAATCAATACGATATTAACCGGTTTTTGATTATCCAATAATCATATCGAAGCATACACATTATTTGTGTGCAGTTCCTATATGTATACGTACTCCTTGACGGTATCACTCCGTGACATGTGTCCTGTGCATATAAAAAGTCATTGAAATATTTCTTGACTTAGAATAATTCTTCATTCTTCATAGTATGCATCCCAAGAGATACTTTTTAAACTTCAATGCAAAATGCTTTTTTTAAGTCAAATCATACTTTTTTTGTAACGGGCATTTGGTATATTTCATGATAATTCGATCATTGCATCTTATATATCACCATCTATTATAGTTAATAATGATATCTAATCTGATTATAATTTGTGTATTTATCAGATAAAATATTTTTAACCTATCAATTTAACTATTAGTACATATATAAAAAGTGACTTGAATATTTATCAAGCATCAAAACAAATGGATTGTTAAGTGATTATAATTTATAAAACTGTTTATCAAAAACAAAAAAAATCGAACATTTGCCAACAGTGACAAGAATTATTTAGAAACCACACTCTGATACCAAAATAATGGTTAATGGTGCACAACAATTCACAACAATGACACTTGATCTAAGAGTCATAGTTTTTTCACTATGTTAGGACAGATGAGCGTAGGTAGGAGACCTCTAATCTTGTATAGATGGGAAGATAAGGCACGTGTAGTCAAGATGAATCAATTTTAACTCATTTCAAATGATTGTTTTCTAGTTCAATAGCAATCTCCCGTCATGACTTAATCCACAAGAAACTTTTACTGGAAATGTGTGATTTCAGGTTTTCTCCAGGCTAATCTCATGGCAAATTGCGATTGTAGGCTTCGTTCACGGCCTTGAATTAAATCTACCGGTGACCTTACACGTATATGTAAATAGCATGATTCGAACCCCAGTAATCAACCCACAAGAAACATAGAGAGCGTTTTGTTTACAAAATGAAATTTGGTGAAATTAGAATGCAACAAAAGAATTCGATTATGAAAGAACTGGAATGAAACTTGTTGGAATTTGACTACACATTTGATTGACAGTTATTGAAATAAAATCTCACAAAAGAATAAAAATATGCATACATCAAGGGTGGGGGTGATAGTTCTGACAACGAGAATAATGGTGTGGTGGTGTTGGGAGTGGGTAGGTGGGGTGGGGTGGGGTGGGGTGGCGACTGTGACGGCAAAAATGCTAATATTAATTGATGGTGGTTGTGATAGTGTCTATGACAATAGTGGTAGTGAATATGTTGCTGAAGAGCGCAAAGTGAGCAGAGTAGGGAGAGATGGTGGTTAAACTTGATGCAAAGGCTGTTTTTGATTTTCTAAAACAAAATTCTAAACTATGTTACATTTGTGCCACAAAAAGAATTCAAATCTTTCACATATGTTATGACCAAATCCCTCAACCAAGGAATTCGATGGAATCCAACCAGTTCATTTCATGAACCAAACGTCATTAAAGAATTTGGTCAAAGGATTTCGTCATTCCAATTCATCAAACTTCTTTAAATTCCATGAACCAAATAACCCCTTAAGTTGCCTTAACGTGTGTTTATGACAGTGAAACGGAAGCAAAACGAAAAAGAAAAGGACGAAAAATCATTTTTGTACATAACAAATTAAGAAAAATGTAAAAGTGGTGTCATGTAATTGCATACTTTCAACATATTAATTGAAAACTAGTTACTAGTTCTTCATTATCAAAGGTTTCACCCTAAAGAGATTTCTATTTAGTTCTAGTGTTCGAGAATGATGTAGTAGACCAAATTTATGGGTACCGTTATCAACATTCCGAATATGACCCTGAAACAACAAAAGTGATGTGTTGTTAATAAGAAAAATCGAGCACCCAAATAATCACAATACAACTCTTAATTTATATATACTCACGAGAAACTAAGCATGGTTGGATAAACATTGTACTCTTTAGCAAAAACAAATGGTACGATCCCTTCTGATAAAGAGGCCTATCGATGAACATAACCAAAGGACCAACATTAGATATAAACCTTGAATTCAATAAAAGAAAAGTTATATACAAAAATAAAGTGCCAGATACGGAGTCTCACTTTGCTGGACTTTGACAAATCTCATATATATATATATATATATATATATAGAGAGAGAGAGAGAGAGAGATATGGGATCATGTTAAATTAAAGGTTTTACGTGAGACCCATAAGACCAATTCTCAACCCTTGGATTAGATCTACAATCTAAACATTCATAATCACAAAATTTTTACGAGATTTCTCAATAATCACAAAATTGTCACCGTGCAACTTTAGACCATTAAATCATTAGTTTGTAAAGTTGATCAATGAACATAAATTAATTTTACGAGTCTCATGAAAAATCTTTGGTCTCACATGAACCCAACCATATATATATATATATTGAAACTTTTCTTTCTTTACCTAAAAACTCTTTCGGAGACTAATTTAATCAAGTTCCACTTATTTTCGTAAGAATTACAAATAAGATTTCATGACAAGAACATGTACCTGTACGATGGCAAGATGGAGAAGGGTACCATGGAGGCCAACTGCGATGGATGCCACCACCATTACCAGCGGTCCTAATAAAAACTTTGCAACCGTGGCAATCAAAGCATTCGTTCTTCCGCACGCTATCATCTTAGGTTGAAGCGCCATAAACAAACCTTAAAAAACATGGAGCATGTATAACTAGTTTAAGTGACACATCAAACTTCAAGCAACAATGTTTTCAAAAACCACTTTATCTTATTTAAAATAAAACGCCCACAATTATTTTTACGGATGAGTTCACATTGGTGACGAAATATGTATAAAACTTTAAGGGACAACCACGACAATATTGTTGCAAAAAAAGCCGACATCGTTAATGTATTCATTTAATTTCAAGACTTGTTGTAACAGACAACCAAAACAAAAACCCGTAACACGAAATAAAAGAGTTTAATGCGGAGTCCCGGAAACATATCGAACTTCAAGGGGAAAACATTAAATTCGTAAACATTAAATATTTAAAACGAATATATTACTTAAAAAACCAAGATTATTATCTCTAATTTGTCTACAATTAGTATTTATTTTAAATTAAAATAAAGGTTACGTACCTAAGCTAAACATAGCCATTCCAAGACCAGTATTGGAGATCAAAGCGATTGAACTTCCGATTATTTTTGGCATTCCCACGTCCCATCTGTCAATAATTTAATTTAATCTATAAATATTATAAAACATTTGACAAAAACTCTTAAAAATTATTTTTTATGTACTGTTTATTGATGCATATTACTTAAAATTTAAGTTTACAAGTAAATTATACATAAGTATAATTTATTAAAGCTTTATATTTGAATTTGTGTAACAAATTGTAAATAAACATACTTAAATATTGAATAAACATGTCATTTTAAATATAAAAAATCTAAAATATAATAAGGATAATTATTAAGTTCTAACAGAATACTTAATTATTATCTTTATAAAAAGTTATCTTATTAAAATTAAATTTTTTGTTAGTAAACCAAAATAAATTATAATTAAAAAACTTGAATTAGAAAATTACACAAAATCACAAGAACTTTTAAAAAAATTAATTTGATATTGATATCGGTATTTTTTTTTTTTCAAATTTTTATGATATTTTTAAATTTCTATTTTATTCAAAAATAAAAACATTATTGTTTTCTCAAAATAATATAAAACCCTATTATATTGACAAAATAAAAAGGAAATAAAACGAAATATTGAAATCAAAATATATCTAGATTCATTATACGAATATCCTTCTAGTTTAATTTTAAGTACGAATTTAATTTAGGGTTTACCTGAAGGACACAAGAGACCAAATTAGACCTAATATGCTGGCGTATGTGTTAGGGTTCCTAACCAGTTTCCGCCAAACCGTCACCAGTATCAAACGAATCATAACACTCGCCGACGGCAACTGTGTTTCGGCACCTTCTTCTGGAACTGCCATAGACTCCAACCCCGCCGGTTTGATCCTCTCCCCACCTTTCTTGCTCCCTAATTCTTCATTCGCTGTACCCATATCCAATTCAACCGTATTTCGAAATCAAATAAAAAAAACTCTGAATGATTGATAAAACAATTCGTTATTTACCTCTGAATTTTCCATTTTGGGGGTGATCAGAGACCAACATCTGGGTTTCATTGATACCATGTTGACCTGGTCGAGATGACTGTTGTGCTGTTCCCCGGAGATCCGAACTGAGCCGACCACCTTTGGAACCTATCGGCGCACTAGCACTCCGAGGAAATGTGTGGACGTCAGGGTTCACTTTTTTTTGTTGCATATGTGGCTTTGAACGCGATGGCGTTTCTGGTGGTTGTTGGGTTTTTATAGGTTTTGTAACGGCCGGACTAATTTCCGAGTTTACGGGCTGGAAATATGGCATCATGTTGTGAGCTGCATGGTACATTCCAGACCTCGAAGAACTCATTTTGAGAGATGTCGGAGCAGTGTCCTCTTCGAAATTAATTGATTGTCTCGGAGTGGAAGACACATCCACCGCCGGGCCGAAATTTGATAGCCGTCCGCCGGGAAAACCAGTTATGGAGTAAAAATCCGACTGGTTGACGTTGGAACCTCTCGGAGTCTGGATGGCTGATGAGCTTAAACTGTAAATTTCCACCCCTGAAAGGGAGCCGACTCCGAACGATCTTCTCGACGCATTCGATTTCCTCACCCTGACGTGAAGTTTCCCATCTTCTCCAACCGTTGCCTCCGTTTCAAGAACATCTTGGCCGTCGAGAGAAATAACGTCGGAATCTACCTTGAATGAGACAATGTTGGCTCCGGTTTCCGGGAACTGTTCCATAATCAGCATCTTCGCGGCACGAAACTCGAAAAGGAATAGAAGCAAAGTGTACCATATGATGCCCTGCAACACCACCACCTGGACCATCAGTGATTCTGAAAAATCACCAAACATGGCTGTCAACAGCGGAACCCCCATCACGAGGGTGTTGGGAAGCGTCGCGAGTGAGAAGATTGTAACCGTCCATTCGAGGGTAACTATTTTGGTGAACTTAGTAAGGACGCCGAGCACCACCAGAATGATGATTTTCTGGAGGGTATCGGCGGCCAAGAAACGGAAATTCATGGTGTAAGGATTGTTCATAGAGATGAAATGGAAAGAGAGAAAAGGGACAGCGAAGATGGCAACAAAACGGTTGATGCCGGAGCACTGGTCGGGGGTGAAGATCTTCCACCACCGCACGCTGCCGTAGGCGAGAAACATGGCGACGTATAACGGCAGCATGGCTTTCACAATGGAATAGAAGTCATTCCCGCTTATCATTTCAACTCACAACGCAAATCCAAGATAAACTTGAGAGAGAGAATGAAATGTATCCATCAAACACCGATATTTATATAATAAGAATGCGTATATAGAAGTGAGAGAGAGTATAAGACGTAAAGGGAATGTTGACCGAGGCATTGACCATTTAATAAAATCAAGAAATAATTATTTTGCCAAACAGCTTTTATTTCTATTTTATAATTTATTAAATATTTTTGGTTTTAGTATTCACACAGATATGGTAAAAGGTGTTTAATATCTAAAACATGTAAGAGAAAATAATTAATATTTTAGTTTTTTTAATCAATAAAAAACACCAAAAAATTAATATTTGGAAGGGAGTTATTATAAGATATAATATATTTTATTAATTTAATTTTAAAGTAGAGTAATTGTTAAAATTAATATTTTTTAAAAGATTTTTTATTTTATTTTATGAATATTATAAAATATTTCTTGGAGATGTTGAAAATTACTCCAAAAGAGTTTATTAGTTTTATGGAAATAATTTATACTCTTTTTTAAGGTATGGGGTGTTTGAGATTGTTTATAAAAATAATTTATTGACTTATTCCGTGTGGCATTGGTAATAAGCACTTTTGAGTGTTTGGATAAACAACTTATATATGTGTCAAATCGGTAATAAGGAGTTTTTGAAGAAGTTAAACTCTTCTAATTTATAATAAGTGTTTTTGTAGAAAAACATTAGTTGTTTTAAATAAGCAATCCCAAACACCTCTATATTATATGATTTTTTTTTTAAATTTGGATTGTAATCTAATTTATTAATTAAATTTATTTAAATATTACTATTTTGATGATTAATTTATTAATGCAACTTGTTTTTTAGTTAATAACTTGTTTTTCGACTAATAATTAACTTATCAACTAATTTACAGAGCAATTATAGATTAAATCTAGTTTATATAATTAATTTTTTAAGATGAACCAATGAAATATATTTTTGTTCATTTTTCTTCATTTTGGCATCTAAAAACATCTCGAATAGATTCTTTAAATTCGAGAATTTAAAATATTTTTACTGTGAAAATAGAAAAAGTAAGAAAAATAAAATAAAACTCTACAAATTTAGAAAATTCTCCAAAGTTTATGGTAAAAATGGAGAAAAATGAATTTTTTTTTTATTGTTTTAATTAACGTAGTTGAATTTATTATTATTTTACATAAAAATTTGATTATTTTTGAGATATTTAAATATATCTTAATAATATAACTAATATTGAAATCCTTAAATTAAATAATGATTAGAAGTGGTTTGATTTTTTTTTAAATTTTAACTTTTAACTTTTCGTTTTGGAAATAAAGATAATATGTTGATCATACTATGGGACTCTTGGTTTGGCTATAAATGATGCCATTTAGAGCTACGTCTGAATCAGTCAAACATAAAGTATATTTGGTAAAAAAAAATAACCTTCTCTTAATGATTCCAACAGCCTTTAAATCGCTCAACTTCCACGGCCTATCCATACTATTCAGAGGCCCATGTTTTCTAGCATTAGCCTTTGGTTGCCTTTGACAATTTCACGCTCAACTTATGCGACTCCTATCTGGATTGCTCTCACGCTCTGCTCCCTCTTTTGATGCTTTCTTCCCTACTAACTGGCATTGCTAATTCTTTCTTGGTCGTTCCCTAGCAGAAATTTTGTTCAAATCGGCAATTAGGTGACGATGCTTACTATCTGAAGCTTCTTATTGCTCATATCACATCTACTCTTAACCATATGTTCCAATCTTCTTTTTTTCCTTCCTAAAATTTGGGTATGACAATATTGGGTGCTTTGTTCATCAAATTTAATTTTTACAGCATTTGTCCACCAGCGACTCGATGAAATGCTTAAGAGACTTCAACAAGACATGCAAATCCTGAATGCAAGAAGATCGAGTGTACTAAATATAGAACGGATTGACCAGAATATGAAGCTCATTTACATGACATTGATGGATAAACATTATTTTACTAGTTTTTGGTTGAGAGATGTAGGGAATTTAGTATGTAAACTTTTGAATCATGAAAAAGGAATGAGAAACCGTAGGAACTCTGGAATGTCTTTAATAGTGCTCTTAAGGTGATTACATACTCTTGAAGATTATTACTCAATAGTCCACAAAGTACCAACATTAACTTGCTTACCGAATATCACATTGTCAAACCAAAAGGATGGTGTCCGATTGATTTAAGTTTGGGCTCCAAAGGTCAAAGTGTCCGAAGGTCCCAGATTCGAATTCAATGAGAAATAAAAAATTCCCTTGTAGCCATGTGGGTTAAATGTCGTGACTCCAGACTACCCGCAAAACGGGTGATCGCCCTGGGATTAATCGGCTTGTATAACGAGTTGAATATTCATGTTAATTAAAAAAACATCACATGGTCATCCACCATTTTCAGTCATGTCTACTCTTTTCCATAAAGAAAAAACAAGGAGCTAGTTTAGTCCATTTATTGATGTTTGATTTTGTCGATTATTTGGATAAAAAATTGATTACTGGCAACCTCAACCGGTCCCATACGAAACCCGCTTCCAAAAACTCCACGATCTCTTTAGTAGTGCAGAATGAAATACGACTATTCATGGTTTTTCAACTGTTTTCTTCTGGTTGATCACAAGTAGAATGTTGAAATTGAACTGAACAGCGGGCTTCATGGGTTTTGTATAAGACTTGGATTTGTTCTCTATGTTCGTATTAGTTTGATAAATATGGTACATGAAGTAGTAGTAGTTGTTGTATTGAATATTTGAGGTTATTATTATGAAAATAATCTAACCCAAATATGGGAAAACCCTTAAATTATATATAAAATATTAAAATGGTAATTTTATATCATTCAGACTATTAATTCATAATATATACCAAATAGTTTCATTTTATTCTGCATTAAATCATATAGAATCTTTTAATCATTTCATATAAAGTCTTTTATTTAATGACTTCTAAATATTGATTAGGATATGGTTTTGCTGCATCACATCAATATTTTAATCCTTCCAAAATAATATATTTAAGAGTGAATCATACTGTCGTTATGGTTTGTTCAAATTTTGGATTTACTCCCTAAAATAAACTATCTACATCAGTGGTCTCTAACTTTTCATTTTCTTAACATCCATGATCCACTTAATAATGTTAGTTAACAATTGTTATGAAGGACTAGTCGGTCTGACAAACTATAAGGACCAAAAGTGCAATCTAGTCTAAAATTTAATGTAATTCACAAGTTTTTTTTTGTTTTTTTATTAAAAAAATTATTTATTCAATCACAAATCAAATTTCTTAAAATAAATAAAAGTATTTATATTTATTCAAAAACTATTAAATTCACAAAAATATTAACGTTAAAAAATCTCAAGTTTAAAAATTCTCGTCTTTTTAGGACGCCAGAAGTGGTCTATTAGAACATTTAATTTTTTTTTTGGTCATATAAACCTAGTTTTGTTATAGTGATAAATTTTTTATTAATTGTTTGAATAATCAGTATTTTTTAATCTTAATTTATAATTTTTATTTTGTTGTTATTTTAATTATTTGTAGTTTGACTACATGCTAATAATTTCACATTTACCGAACTCAAAATATATGTGAATTTATCTTGATTTTCTTTGTTTTTTTGAACTTGAGATTTTGTTAAAGCTGATTTTTTTTGTAAATTTAATAGTTTTTAAATAAATATATTTTTTTATTTAATATATACTTTATTTAATAAATTTGATTTGTGATTGGATATATAAAATATTTTTTTAGAAAAAAAATAGAAAAACCGTGAATCATTAAATTTTAGAATAGATTACACTTTTGCTTCCTATAGTTTGTTTAAAGACCGATTAGTCCTTCACAATGATTGCTAACTAATGTTGTTAAATGAAGGAATCATGAGTGTTATAAAAATGAAAAGTTAGAAACCATCAGTTTAGATGATTTATTTTAGGGACCAAATTTAAAATTTGAGCAAACCATAAGGACCATCATTGTAATTCACTCTATTTTTAATAACGTAGGTTATTTTGCTAAGTTGACATTTAAAAATGTAAGATTATCGAATTTTCATGTTAACTAAATCAAATCGTAATGAGCATTCATACATCAACATGTAAAAGAGGTACATATGGGTATATTCGACAAACTACCTGATAAGTTAGTTGTTGGCTGAAAAACTAGTTATTAGTTGATAAACTACTTGATAATTGAAAACGATCTGATGAACTAATCATATCTGGTAAAAACCGTCTCATAATCTAGTTGGGAATCGTAAAATAAATTAAATAATATAAGACATTAATTAACAGAATTACAAGAAAACTTCTATCTAAAGTGGTCTTCACCTAGGTGGTAAAACTATATGTTGATCAAGTGCCATTTCAGAAGAGAACAAGAGTTGATATAAGACTTCATTTTATTCCAACAAACTATCAATTTACTGATGTATTTACTGAAATCTTGATGGATCAAGATTAAAGTTTTTAATCAGTGAATTAAGAATGTTAAAAATGTTGAAAATTAAAATATTATGAATAACCAAAGTTATATATTTACAAGTCATATCATCATAACATTTTAAGTTTCAATATTTTCATTAAATGGTCCAAAAGAATAAAATAAACTTTGCATCTTCAATGTTCAATTCGAGCAAAAGATAGTTGTCAAGTTCAACATCTGGTAAATATCATGTATTGTCTTCTATTCTCTAATATTACTCCTAAATTGAATTATCTCTTCAATTTGGTTAAGGATTCATCATTCGGAATATCTTTTATTAGATTAACTGTTGGTTCCAGACGGATCTATGAGAGTTTATAGGTAAAAGTTTGTAAAATGGGAAGGGGGGATGAATACAAACACAACAATTTTCACTTCTAAAAAACTTATATTGATATAGAAGATTAATACAGATTTTTACGGATTGTTTGTGGAAGAAGTAAGATACAAAATATATCTAAACAATCAAAGATACACACAAAATTACAGACAACAAGAAGAAA